ATTTTTTTCTATTTAATAATATTTATTTCAAACTTGCAAGTTGAGTTAAAAGTTATGGTAATAAATTCATTTTTTTTTTATTAAAACTTTCACTTTAAAGAACAAAAAGAAGTAGGTTCAAAATGATTACTTTTAACATATTAAAAATCAATAATAATTTGAAAATAATTAATTATAAAAATTATATAATATATAATTAAAATAATTACTAATCTGGATATAATTAAGGAAATAGGAGTTGATGTTGGGTTGGGTTGGTTACATTTTTAACTTTATAATGCTATAACTCATTGAAAAGTGTACGAATCAACACAATTTTTTTATGAGAAATAATATTTTTTAATAATCCCTTTTTCATTCGACATACTTTATCTTAATCAGGGTATTAATAAGAAACTAGCAGATAATGTAGCTTTTGTAATTATCCACCAATTTCTTAGAATTAAACACTATCTACTGATTTGCATCGAAGCGTTTCTTATGATAGTGATTTTAATCACTGTCAGATTAAATCTATACTGGACCCAACTATGCAACATCCCCACTATGCCGCGACCCCACTGTGCTGGGTTTTTTTTTAATCATTATCGATCTTTTATGAGCTGTTTCACAAGAAAAATTAATTCTATAATATCATCCCTTATACTTAGAACTTGTATCAACTTCAGATTTTCAAATTGCAACCCCATATTATTTTTGTATATTTTTGTTTGACATAAAAATAAAAATAAGAAATTATGAATTTTAAACAAAATACACTACATTAAAATTTACGATATTTGATAAAAAAATTCAGTAGTTTTTCCAACACGGTCGCATTATTATTTTATGTAGCAATAAGACCTATCGTTTTTCTGTGTCAACGCATGTAGTCAGAATAACTAAGGTAAGCTTCGTATGTTTATTTATAAAACTTATCGATTTACGATCTATATCGTTCGAGTTTGTCATAATTTTTTCTTAATAAACCCTAAATTTTAGAGAACCGTGGAGCACTAAATAATATATAAAATAAAATAATGTTTTTACAAAATATTTAATTTATTAAACTAAATCTAATGGTGTAAAAAAAATAGGGTTGCCATTTAAAAATATGAATTTATTACAAGTTTTAAGCATAAGGGATGGTGGTAGAAATATAAATTTTCTTTTGATATACCTCATCAAAGATCCATACTGATAAAAAAAAAATTGTTTATAACATTTGTATTTTTAAAGATATTATGTAAGACATAATTGGCCAATCACTCTGTATAACTTAATAAATACTTATCCTAAGGATATATCAGCCCAATAATTTTTTATTATAAAAAAAAAGGGGGGAATGAAAAATAGTTATTTCTCAATTTGGAAAAAGATTATAAAACACGATAAGTATTAAAAATATGCTTTGAACTTAATATAATAATTACACAGAATAACAAACATTCTGTTGACTATAATATTTAGGTGAATTCTATATGGAATTTTAATGCTAGCTTTAGATTTATTCCATCCCATTATTATAAAAATTGATAATTGGATCAATGATTTTTGTGATTCCAATTAATATTGTAATTAGTGCACAAAATATTTAAATTTATAAGGAAAATTAGAGTAAAAATAATATCTTTAAATCTTTGAATTTTATACCTTAATTTTAGCTTCGATGCGAAGCTGTAAAAGTATTAATTTTACTATGATGTGTTTTTTTTTTATGTCTTTTACCACTTTTTCTCAGCTCTCACCCAACCGATTTCTTTCATCAATACGTCTAAAGATCACAAATCGTGTATCTAGTCGAAGGTATTATCCTCAAAAATTGAAAAAAATTCCCTCATTCCTCGTAAATGGGGGAAACCTCCAAAAAAATTACAAATTTAAAAATCGCTTATTTTCGAAATTTTTTCAATTTTTTTTACTAAAAACTACTGTAACTTTTTCAAAAATGAACATATCAATATAATTTTTTTTTATAGATGCTTAATGTCTTTACCTATTATTTGATATATTTTTTTATAAATTTAACCCTTTACCAGCCCACAGGGTGGATTCAAAATGACAACTTTTTCACAAAAAAATAACTTTTGAAAGTGTTCCGGAAGGTCTGACACTTTTATATATATCTTAAATTAAAGCTAATGTAATACACTTTATTATGGAAAAAAATTTTTCGGATTTTATTTTGTCTTCACGGTAAAAATAGATACCGTACGTGGTGTGTTCAAAAAGTAAGGTGACTTGATATTTTTATGAAAAACTATTTATTTATTCATCAATGTTTATGTTGTCCCCTTCAAAGTAATCCCCCTCAGATATGACAGATATGACACTTGTACCAACGCTTTTTTCAATCTTCGAAAAACTTCTGATAAGTACTTTCTGGTATAGCCTTGAGCTCTTTCAGCGATGCAGTTTTTATCTCCTCAATCGTTGCAAATCTTCGTCCTTTCATAGGATTTTTCAGTTTTGGGAACAGGAAAAAGTCGCATGGGGCTAAATCCGGTGAATATGATGGCTGATAATTGTGGTGTTGTTTTTGGCCAATAAATCTCTCACGAGCAACGATGAGTGAGCAGGTGCATTATCATGATGCAAAAGCCATGAATTGTTTTTCCATAATTCCGGACGTTTTTTTCGTATTGCTTCTCGCTAATGACACATAACTTCAAGATAATACTCCTTATTGACCGTACGACCTTGTGGTAAGAACTCCTGATGCACTACGCCACGACGATCGAAAAAAGCAGTGAGTAAAACCTTGACGTGCTTTTTTCGGTCTTGGCTCTCCTGGGCTCTACCATTGAGACGATTGAACTTTGGTTTAGATGTCATAACCATATACCCATGATTCACCTGTTATGACCCTTTTGAGCAAATCAGGATCATCATTGACGTCATTCAACAGCTCCCGAGCGATGCTCATGCGACGATTCTTCTGATATGCCAACATCCTGAGCAACTTCTCTGATAATGATTCGACGATTTTCCAAAACAATTTTCTTCACTGCTTCAACGTTTTCATCTGTTGTTGACGTGCTGGGGCGTCCAGAGCGAGGTTCGTCATTGGCATCTACTCGGCCATCTTGGAAGAGCTTGTACCACTCATAAACGTTTTTTTTACTCAGAGCGGACTCACCGTATGCCACTGTAAACATTTCAAGTTTTTTAGAGCACTTATTTCCATATTTCACACAAAATTTGATGCAAATTCTTTGATCCATTATTTTTGATAGCAGAAAATCACCGAGCACACCAAAATACGTCTAATCTTTGTATCTATCAAAAACAAACTAAATATGCTATATACTTGAAACTGTGTACAGATGTTAGGGACGAGTGTACCAACATGTCATAAAAAAAATCTAAGATCGAACGGACGTAGCCCGCGAAATTTAAAAGTCACCTTACTTTTTGAACACACCACTGTTTTTATATTAAAATTTTCGATATTATATTTTACATTTTTAACTTTAAATTGTTATAACTTTTTGAAAAATTTATGGATCAATACAATTTTTTTATATGAAATATTATTTATATACGTCTTTAATTTCACATATTTTTTTTTAAATCGGACCAGTTCCCTTAATACAAGGGGGGTTCAAATCTTTAAAATTCATAAAAAAAGTAGAACTTTTTCAACTTAATTATAAATACTGAAATACTGACACTTTTAAATATATCTTAAATTAAAGCTTATGTAGTATACTTTAATATTAAAAAATTAAATTTCGGACTTTATTTTAATTTCATGATGAAAATAGCTACCGTATTCAAAAATATGCTATTTTTGTGTTAAAATTCTTGGTTTTGTATTTTATTTTATTATAAGGGAATTACACTGATTTTCATAAATATTATATCAAGCTAATTGACATAGTACAAAAAGTTAGACATATTTAAATTATTTTGTTTCTTTGAAGTCGAGAAAAATAACTTTAAAATTTGAACTAACTAAATTTTCATTTTTATTAATGCAAGATACGATTTCTGAGACGATAACACTGTGGCACTGATTTTTTTCTTAATTCTTTTTGATTTAGAAAAACCCAGTACAGTGGGGTCACGGTACAGTGGTGACGTAGCATAGTTGGATTAAGTATAATGATATCTGACAGTGATTAAAATCACTATAAAAAAAAAAAAGCTTCGATGCAAATCTTTAGACAGTGTATAATTTTAAAAAATTGGTGGGTTATTCCAAAAGCTACATGATCTGCTAGTTCCTTATTAATATCCTGATTAAGATAAAGTATGTCGAATGAAAAAGGGATTATTAAAAAATATTATTTCTCATAAAAAATTATGTTGATACCTACACTTTTTAATAAGTTATCACATAATAAAGTTAAAAATGTAAAATACAAAATCGAAAATAGCCATTTTCACCGCGAGAATAAAATAAAGTTCGAAATTTTTTTTTTTCATGATGAATTATATTACATTAGCTTTAATTTAAGATATACATAAAAGTGTCAGACTTCCCGGAACATGTTCAAAAGTCAAGTTCAAAAAATTAATTTTTTGTAAAAAAGTTGTCATTTTAAATTCCCATCTGTTGGCAGGTAAAGAGTCAGATATAAAAAAGATATACCAAATGAAAGGTAATGATATCATGCATCTATATAAAAAACAATTATATTAGTTCGGTTATTTTTAAAAAAGTAATGGCAATTTTAAGTAAAAAAAATTTTAAAAATTTCGAAAATTAGTGATTTTTAAATTTGTCATTTTTTTGGAGGTTTCCCTCATTTACGGGGAACGAGGGATTTTTTTCAATTTTTGAGGATAATGTATTCGACTAGATACGATTTGTGATCTTTTGACGTATTGTTGAAAGAAATCGGTTCGGTGAGAGCTGAGAAATAGTGGCTCTCTCTCTATGGTTTCAATCCGTAGATTGGTTTGCAGCTATCTTCCAGTCTTCTCTCTTATCCGCCATTCTTTTCATTTCCACATATGAGTCACATCCTTGGTCCTTTATTATTTGTTAAATGAATTCCAATCTTGGTCTACCCCTACGATTCTTTCCTTCTACTATAAATTTCAACAATCTTTCGTGTCTCATTATATGACCAATTATATATCCAATCGTTGCGTCTTCTGACTATGTTATTCCATAGTAACTTTCTATCTGATATTCTTTCTAGTACTTCGACATTGGTTACTCTTTCCATCCAATCTATCCTTAGCATCCTTCTATAGTACCACATTTCAAACGCCTCAAGTCTTCTTTTTTCTTCCGTTGTTATTGTCCAGGTTTCACACCCGTACAGGCTAATGCTCCACACATACGTCTTTAATAAGGTTTTTCTTATTTTTAGACTCATGCTTCTTGATGTAAATATAATTTTTCTTTTTGTTAAAGGCTATTTTAGCTTGATAGATACTTTTTATAATTTCATTTCTCTTTCTTCCATCCTTGCTGATTGCGCTTCCCAGGTATGTAAATTCATCTATTTGTTCTATTGTTTGGTTTCATATTTTTATCTGTATTCTTGTATTATTTTTCCTGTCACATACCATTACTTTTATTTTCTTCACATTTATTTTAATTTCCAACTCTTTTTCGAATGTTTTATCCATAGCTTTAATTGGCTCAACTAATTAATTTTTTTGGAGATTTCCCCAATTTACGTAGAACGAGGGAATTTTTTTCAATTTTTGAGGTTAATTTCTTCGACTAGATACGATTTGTGATCTTTTTACGTATCGTTGAAAGAAATCGGTTCGGTGAGAGCTGAGAAAAAGTGGTAACAGACACAAAAAAAAACACATCATAGTAAAACCAATACCTTCTCAGTTTCATATCGAAGCTTAAAATTAAAATAAAATTAGTACCTTCTCAGCTGAGCATCGAAGCTAAAAACATTTAATTAGGTATAAATGAGAATATATGAAAATAATAATGAATTATAATTACGGTTTTAAAACAAACAAAGTGATTATCGTATTAAAATATTCACCTTGTATTGCTAAAATGGAAAATTAAATAAAAGCTTTGTAAATAAGTATTGATAATGTCCAGTATTTATTATAATAACAATTTCATTTTACTCATTGTATGGCCAATAATCGATCATATAAAGAGGTTTATAATTCGTTTGATGTTCAAAGGAGTCAATTGTATCGATATCGTCATATTCATCTTTTAGATCCTTTAAGTTAAAATTTGTAACATCATCTTCTACATTATTTACATCTTCATAATATCCTATTTCAATATTATTTTTATCATTCGTACTAACATTGTATATTTCAGAATGTGATGCAGTATTACAAATACGATCTAAAAGAAATAAAATGACGATTTTAAAAGTGCATAAATTACAAATATTTGCTTTAGTCAATCAAATGATAGCGAATTCGAAATAATTTTTTTCTTTATAATTAGATTTCCTTATATTGTTTAAATTGATTTTTTATACTTTTATTTGCGCTATCAACAGAATTGCATTAATGCTTTTCTTATGATAGTGATTTCAATTACTATCAGATAATATCTATACTGATCCAACTATGCCACATTCCCATTATGGTATCTTATTTTTTTGTTAGTTGTCATATTGTTGAATTACTTTATTTATCTCTATATTATAAGACCGACGACGATGCAACGAATCCTAGAATTTTTGTTATATACATAGCAGAATATATTGTATACAAATAATAAAAAGTATTGAAATAAAACTGCATTTTCACTTACCTAAAACTTTAAAATTAATAAAATCCTTATAAATTGAAACATTAAAAGTTCGAATCTTAAAATTTCTAACAATAAACTTCAAAGATTTTTTCCATTTATTCAAATCGTTTATATAGATATCAACTTTTTTAATGATTTTTTCAAATTCATTTTTAATCTTATCAGCATTACTTTCAGTTAAATTTTTATTGGTTAGAGCTATATCACTTGTAAAGTATAATCTATTTTTGATGAAGAATTTCGAAAGTAATTCAATTAATTCATTATTATATTTAATATCAATTTCGGATAACTTTTTTTGATCAATATAACTGTTTAAGGCTTTATTATATCCATGTAAGACGTCATTTATCATAAATGCCTTTTTAAAAATTAACACGCCGTGAGAAATGAATGTTAATACATATTGTTCTATTTTTCGTCCTATGCCAATAAAATTTGGTTTTAACCAATATTTTACACAATCTGAATTATCTGAAGATGCGACCTGAATTAGGGTTAAAAAGTTGCGAATAAGAATAGCTATTGGTCGAAACGTAGCCCCAATTACCAATTTCATATATATTAAAACATCACTGTAATTAAAATCATATTTTATATACTCAAATACATCTTGTATAGTTAAACGAGTACCGTTAGAGCATTTAACGTTAAGTGGAGTGAATCGAAGTAAATTTAATGTTATGTGTTGATTATTATCTATTTTTATAATATTACTTTTGTTGGTGAGAATCTGTTGGGTCATTATATCATACAACAAAATATTTTCTGGAAGAATACTTTCGTATAAATTCCTTTTTAATGTTAACTCAAATTTGGTGTATATTTTATCCTTGAATTCATTATTTATAGTCATTAGATTAGTAGTAGTATATTCGTTTTTACCAATTGGATAATTAAAACTAACAGTTTTTTCATTCAATGGAATGTTTTTACAATATTTATATATGTAATCTGTTAGTTGTTCTTTAACTGCGAAATGTATCATCTTATAGCCTTCTAATAAATTATTAGCATTATTTTTTTCATCATCATCATTTTGAGCAATCATATTTAAATGACCAGAAACGTTATTTAAGTACATATTTACCGTAATTAAAGGAAAAGAAAAATTTTTTAAATTGTTCATTAAGTCATCCAAAATCATAACAATTACTTTATTGTGTGTTTGAAGTGCCTTGCCATAGTTCATTAGATTTTCTATTGTTAAATATTCTTTATTTTTTTCGAATTTTAACAAAAATCTTTCATTATGGTTAAAAAAGTTTAGAAAATAACGAGAATGAAAGCACTTTATATATTGCACATAATGACATAAGCTTACTTTTAAGGTCACCATTAATACGAAAAGTAAAAAATATTTCATTTTTAAATTTATATTATATGTATAGATGTTTTGCTAATGTTTTTAATTTGAAAAAAATGATACACTGAATTAATATAATTATGAGTATCGTTTTTATGAATTTTGCCTTACCATATTTGATAAATTATTAAATTATAATTGGGAGGAAAAAAATTAATTTTCATTTAAATGCACGTGTTCTTTATTCAACATATTTACTTACATTGTTGACATAATTAATAAATTTATATAGTAATAGGTTAAATAAATTAATTTATAATACTAAAAACGGTATTTTTAAATCTCTCAAATACTAAATTTTTTTATGAATAATTACACTTAAGACTATATAGATAAATATAATCTATTAAATATTAAACAGTTAACAATTATTTCTTTACGACGTGGACATCTTAAAAAAATTCAATGTTAACTGAGAAGGTTTAAAACAAAACCTTGAAAAAGTTGTCAAACTATTGTCTCATGATTATGATTACATACTCAAAGACCTAAGCACTAAATTCTTTTGAGATTTATTAATACCGCTAATGAATTACATATATTCAAATTAATAAAAAAATTTCGCTTTTACAAGAATCTGAAAAGGTATTAATTTTAAAGTTAACATCAATATTATTTTAAGAAAATACTATTGGTTAGCGTTAAAAGAATCGTCCTTTTACTAAAATAGAAAAAATTAAAGCTTTGTAAATATATAATAGCAATTTATAATATTAGATATAAAAGCCTTATAACAATCTCATATTACACATTGTATGGCAATAATCAATTATATAAAGAGATTTATAAATAGAATGATTATTAAAGGAGCCATTTGTATGGAAATCATTTTATCATCTTCATCTTTTAGAAATTTTAAGTTAAATTCTATATCAACTTCCAAATCTTCATAATATCCTTATGAATTTTATTTCTATCATAACACCGTCTCTATAATTCACACGACCACGTTGTAAATTAGCCCAAAATTAATCTAGAGCCAATAATTACCAAGACAAAAATTAAATACTAAAAATATATTCGTAAGTTTCTTTGCGCTGTCTGCCGGCGCGATGTTCGTTAGAACAAAGACATCAAGCTTAATGTCTAGCTACCCAGTAAGTATAGAGTTGCAATACACTTAGTCCAATAAAATTATTATTAAGTTAATTTAAATCTGAAGTAATTGTGACCTTTAGCTCACAATAAATATTTACCATTAAATAAATAATTCAAGTTGAGTTGGGTTTATTATAAAAATAAAATAATTTTAAAATGTTTGAGGTTTAAAATATTAATTGACATTTATTTCCATGGTAAGATAAAATGAAACATCATTATTTAATGAACAAATAAATTTAAAACAAATCATTCACCAATAAAAGTTCCTTTTAATTTGAAAAAATAGTTGAATTTCAAAAAAAAATAAAAAAGACAAATCGCAGATTTTATGTGTTTTGAAATTTCCGAATGAATTGATTTTAATAGGATATATTGGGTTTTTATAGTCAGAGTGTGGGTAATGTAGCGATCTTGGAAGCTGTAGATCTTAATTAATTGTTAAATACGATTGGGTGGACTTAATTGAGAACCTACATATAGGCGTTACTTTAAATCTGTACAATATCAGATTTAACTTTCTAGTTAGCTCGTTATTTTGTGTTTTAAAGAAGGAAACACTGTTTTGGTGATCTTGTAAGTTCATAATATGTGATAAACATGTACAAAAGATAACATCATATAACATTCTAATATTATAAGTGATAACATAATATTACAATATGGAGAATGTGGACTAAGTTACTTTTTAATTGATAAAGTAGAAATGTTTTTGAATTTTTGAGGGTAATAACTTCAACTAGATACGAATTGTAATAATTTGATGTATTGTTGCAAAAACAGGTCAAATGAGAGCTAAGAAAAATGAATGACAAACACAAAAAAAAAACATAGTAAAATAATTCTAACATGAGTAAGAAATTCCTTCACACGAGGGTTGATTACAGTGATGGGGTTCTTTGATTTATTGAAGTTATTCAATCTAAATAAAATAAAAATCAAGCGAATTTTGAATTTTTTTCCTCCTCAAAAAGAACTAAAAAAAATGTAATTTGTCAGGAGTTTTCAAACCTCGTACTCCGAGCGTGAAAGACTAAAGTGTAAGCGACTCGAAAACAGTACATAATACATATTTGGATAAAAAGGACAATTTAAGCTAGTTTTAAAATTCAAACTCGTTTCTCTTAACTTAGGAAACAATATATTCAAAATAAGTTTAAATTTATATTCAATTTAAGTTAGATTCAAATGATCACAACTATTATCTAGTTAAAGTTATTACCCAAAAATATTGAAAAATATCCCCTTAATCAAATAAAAATTTGTTTAATGAGCTCTCTCCAATCAGACAATTAAAATTATTCATTTCTAATATTTTTAAAGTTTTTTTTGTCGAATCAGGTTCGATAATAAGTTTCAACTACATAATTAAATAATTTTTCTTTATAATTTATTAATTTTTTAACTTTATTGTGTGTGTTACTTTGTTTTCAACGATACATCAAATTATTACAATTCGTATCCAGTTGAAGAAATTTTCCTCAAAAACTAAAACTAATTCCACTTTATCATTATGTTTTTAGTTATTTTTTTATATGTAAATACTCACTTTTTAATAATTAGTTATAATATCAAAACTTATAGAAAAACTGATAAAAAGCACTAGTATTATTGCGAAAAAAAGCGTTATAAAATATTGTTTCCTTGGGTGTCCTTTTGGGTTTCTTCCCAGTTATTTTTCCTTCGAAGATGTTGATTATAAAGTCATTGTGTCGGATTATGTATACGATTAATTTTATTTTTCTTGATTCAATCATTTTCATTAGCTATTTTTTTTCTTGCACTTCTTCTAGCACTAGCTAATTTCTTTTTATGTTTATCCATTTTGTCTTTGTCATTTTTCTCCATTTCTATAACTCTAATGCTTCTAGTTTGCTTGTGTCTTTTTTGTCAATTGTCCATGTTTCACTGCCATATAAAAGCACACTCCTGACAAATGTTTTAACGGATCTTTTACGTATGCCAATGCTCAGATGTTTATCAGTATGAAGCTGATTCTTTTTTAGAATGTTTGCTTTGCCAATGTTATTTTTCTTTTGATGTCTGATGTTGATTTGTTATTTGTTAAGCTATGATACTTCCAACGTAGCAGAATTCACGGACTTGTTGTAATCGTATATTGTTTATTTGTATATTAAAATTTATATCTGAGTGCATTTTACTTATAAGCATAGTTTTGGTTTTCATGGAATTTATTTTGATTTTAAATTTATCAAGTGAACTTGATAGAATTTTTAACATATTATTTACAGACTCTTCTGAGGTAACAATGTCATTCGCAAAGAGAATACAATGTATATGTTGACCATTTATTTTCACTTTATTGATCTTGGTTTTCATTATATCTATGCTCATTTCAATGAAAAGATTGAATAGATAGAGTGACAAGAGGCATCCTTGTCCGCTCTTTTCCTTATTCTTGTTTCTTTTACTGATCCATTTACATTTATTTCTGTTGTTTGATTTATATACGTTGAAGATGATCTTTCGTTTATCTTTCCAATCAAATTATTTTTCTCTTAATATCTTTAATAATATTTTTCAATCTACATTATTGAAAGCATTCTCTAGATCAATGAATGTTGCTATAGTATTTCTATTCAGTACAATTTTTCTTTCAAGGATCTGTCTCAATGCTAATATCGTTTCTCTTGTTCCTCGTCTTTTCCTAATCCCAAACTGATCTTCCGATATAATTTGTTATATCTTTAGTTGATAGAATATGTTCTTGATAATATTTAAAAGTATTTTTGAAGCGTGAGAAAGAAGCGCTATAGTTCTATAGTTTCCACATTCCGTTGCATTGCTTTTCTTCGGAACTGTTACAGTTCTACTTTTGACAAAATCCAATGGTAGACTTCCACTATTTAAGCTATCTTATTAGATTTCAAACAATTTATATTTTGTCTTTTCTCCTATATTTTTCAGTAGTTTAGCCAGGATATCGTCAATTCCTGTTGCTTTTTTATCACTCAGTTCTCATAGAGACTTCTCGAATTCATTAATAAATATTTCGGGTCCCTTTCTATCTTTATTTATATCTATTTTATTTTCTATATATCCCTCTTTATTTTTGATCTTCTATTTTCTCTCATATAATTCTTTTATATAAATTTACTCTCTACTAACTTTTCATTTTCCAACAGAATTTTGTCATGTTTATCTTTAACTATGTTCCTGGATGTCCTGGGTTTTTATTGCAGTTTTTTAATTTTATTATAGGCTTTGTTTGTATTGTTGCTTAATAGTATAAAATTGTATAGTATTGTAACCATAGATAGTGTTTATATAAAAAAATTATTTTGGTTCGTTAATTTTCAAAAACGTATGGCAGTATTAAGTACCAAAAAAATATTACAATAGAAGGTGTTTTTTTACACGAAATTTACATTTTTTGTTTAACTATGAAAGCCATTTGCACATAGAAGATAGATAGTCGGGACATATCGTTGAAAGAAATTGGTCCAGTGAGAGCTGAGAAAAAGTGACAGCAGACGTATAAAAAAAAAAACACATAGTTAAGTTAATATCTTTTCACCTACGCATCGAAGCTAAAAAGCTAATATTTCGAGTATTACTTATTTTGATATAACTTACAACTATGAAACTTGAACGACAAGTAGATCTTTAGAAGTATTACATCAATATTATTTTTGTGCATTTTGAGTAAATAAAAAAAAATGATCAGTTATATATTCTCCTATTTCCCAAACTTAACATGCTACAGAAGGTGATAGCCCTCTTTCACATGTTAGGAAGTTAGAGATGATTCTTGACTAGACAAATGATAGACGTGACGAGTATTATGGCCGACTTGCATCAGAGACCAAACACTACTAATGAGAAAATCACAAGAAATATCTCGTTGGCACTACGAGGATCGAATTTGAGACTGAAATATAAATTTCTACTCACTTGGCTAAGCCGA